AAATAAATGTAAAAAAGTATTGTCATTTTTATTGTGGAGCTTCTATATTGCGATCTCGTGAAAAAGCTTCATAAAGTTGCTACGACAAGAGTCCCATGTGGGAACTTTAATGTTGATTTCCGGATGAATAATAATGAAATAAATTTGATTCATTATTTTCTATCACCATATGGTCTTTAATCCTACTAGAGTTTGTAATAAGTCGAAAAAAACTATTCATATCACTAAAAAAAGAATCACAGATGATTATGAGCAGTTGCTCCACTTCAAGGTTTAACTAGTAAATCACACAATAATAAATATATTGAAGTCTGAAGACTTCAAAGAGTACACAAAATTGGTATACCTTCATCAGATTTTGGAGATTTCCATAATTCTTCCAATTTTGAATAATATTTAGTTCCCGATATTATTCTAAACCACCTTCCTACTGAGTGTATTGGTTGTTTCAGAGGCAACCTTGACCTAAATAATTTTATTGAGTAAAAAGTTAGCCACGCCCACCCACCCTTTCTCCACTACAGTGAACAAGTTGCTTTGGTCTGAAATAAAATAAGGATTTCACATTATCAAAAATTAAAACCTCGTGTATATTTCATTCCTTCTCCTCATTTTTGCCCTTCAGAGATTGGGAAAGTTCGCGTAATTAGGATTATAAGTATGCAATATCTAAAATCATTCCATTCAATTTTCAGTTTTTTTTACTTTTTTTACTAAATGAATTCGGAATTTTACACTTTAAACTTTTAATCAATTTTTCATTTGATAGAAAGCATTATTATTAGCATTTTAAGATTTATTGAAGTTTGAAAACTTCAAAAAGTAAAAAAAAATGGTATATTTTTAAGAGATTTTGGAGATTCCTATATTCCTATTGCAATTTTGAAAATGATGTGGTTCTCGATATTTTCATAAATTATTTTTCTACAAAGTGTATTGATTATTTCAGAGGCAGCTTTGAATTAAAAAAAATTGCAGATTAAAAAACTTATCATTTGAAGATTTCTATAATTGTTTGAATTTTAAAAAATATTTAGTTCTCGATATTTTTATAAATCATATTTCTTCAGAGTGTATTGGTTGTTTCAGAGGCAACTTTGACCTAAATAATTTTATAGATTAAAAAAGTTAGCCCCGCCCACCCGCCCTTTCTCCATTTCAGTGAACAAATGGCTTTGGTCTAAAATAAAATGAGGGTTTCACATTACCAAAAACTAAAACTTAGTCTACATTTCATTCCTTCTCCTCATTTTTTCCCTCCAAAAATGAGGAAAGTTCGCGTAAATAAAATTACAACTATGCAATATCAATAATCATTCCACTCAGTTTTCAATTTTTTTATAAACTGAATTTGAAATTTTGCACTTTTAACTTTTAAACAATTTTTCAGTTGATGGAGAGCATTATTATTAGCACTTTAAGCTTTATTGAAGTTTGAAGACTTCAACCAGTGAAAAAATAGTATACCTTGATGAGATTTTGGAGATTCCTATAATCTTTGCAATTTTGAAAAATATTTCGTTCTCGATGTTTTCATAAATTATTTTTCTACAAAGTGTATTGATTATTTCAGAGGCAGGTTTGAATGAAAAAAATTGTAGATTAAAAAATTTAGCATTTGAAGATTCCTATAATTGTTCGAATTTTAAAAAATATTTAGTTCTCGATATTTTTATAAATTATATTTCTTCAGAGTGTATTGGTTGTTTCAGAGGCAACTTTGACCTAAATAATTTTATAAATTAAAAAAGTTAACCCCGCCCACCCACCCTTTCTCCATTTCAGTGACCAAATGGCTTTGGTCTAACCAAAAACTAAAACTTCGTCTACATTTCATTGCTTCTCCTCATTTTTTCCCTTCAGAAATGAGGAAGGTTCGCGTAAATAAAATTAGAACAATGCAATATCGTTAATCATTCCATTCAATTTTCAATTTTTTTACCAACTGAATTTGAAATTTTGCACTTTTAACTTTTAAACAATTTTTCAGTTGACGGAGAGCATTATTATTAGCATTTTAAAATTTATTGAAGTTTGAAGACTTCAAACATTGAAAAAATGGTATACTTTGATGAGATTTTAGAGATTCCTATAATTTTTGCAATTTTGAAAAATATTTGGTTTTCGATATTTTCATAAATTATTTTTCTACAAAGTGTACTGATTATTTCAGAGGCAGCTTTGACTTAAAAAAATTTGTAAATTAAAAAATTTAGAATTTGAACATTCCTATAATTCTGCGAATTTTAAAAAATATTTAGTTCTCGATATTTTCATACATTATATTTCTACAGAGTGTATTGTATGATAAAACCTCGTGTATTTTATTCATTTTCCTGATTTTTTTCCTTCCAGAGATGACAAAAGTTCGCGTAAATAAGATTACAAATATGCAGTATCGAAAATCATGGCATTCAATTTTCAGTTTCTTTACCAACTGAATTTGAAATTTTGTACTTTAAACTTTTGATAAATTTTTCAATTGATAGATAGCATTATTGCTAGCATTGTAAGATTTATTGAATTTCGAAGACTTCAAAGTGTAAAAAAAATGGTATACCTTCATGAGATTTTGAAGATTCGTATAAATTTTGCAATTTTTAAAACTATTTTGTTGTCGATATTTTTATAAATTATCTTTCTACAGAGTGTATTGATTATTTCAGAGTCAACTTTGACTGAAACAAATTTCTAGATTAAAAAAGTTAGATTTTGAAGATTCCTATAATTCTCCCAATTTTAATTTTAAAAAATATTTGGTTCTGGATATTTTTCAAAATTACCTTTCTACAGAGTGTATTGGTTGTTTCAAAGGCAAATTTGACCTAAAAAAGTTAGCCCCGCCCACCCACCCTTTCACAATTTCAGTGAACAAATGGCTTTGGTCTAAAATAAAATAAGGGTTTCACAATACCAAAAACTAAAACCTCGTGTATTTTATTCATTTTCCTGATTTTTTCCTTCCAGAGATAACGAAAGTTCGCGTAAATAAGATTACAAATATGCAGTATCGAAAATCATGGCATTCAATTTTCAGTTTCTTTACCAACTGAATTTGAAATTTTGTACTTTAAACTTTTGATAAATTTTTCAAATGATAGATAGCATTATTGCTAGCATTTTAAGATTTATTGAATTTCGAAGACTTCAAAGTGTAAAAAAAATGAAGATGAGATTTTGAAGATTCGTATATTTTTTGCAATTTTGAAAACTATTTTGTTCTCGATATTTTTATAAATTATCTTTCTACCGAGTGGATTGCTTATTTCAGAGGCAACTTTGACTAAAACAAATTTGTAGATTAAAAATGTTAGATTTTGAAGATTAGTATAATTCTTTCAATTTTAATTTTAAAAAACATTTGGTTCTCGATATTTTTCAAAATTATCTTTCTACAGAGTGTATTGGTTGTTTCAAAGGCAAATTTGACATAAATAATTTTATACATTAAAAAAGTTAGCCCCGCCCACCCACCCTTTCGCCATTTCAGTGATTTTTTAAAATAAAATAAAGATTTCACATTACCAAAAACTAAAACCTCGTGCATATTTCATTCCTTCTCCTCATTTTTGCCCTTCAGAAATGAGGAAAGCTCGCGTAAATAAGATTACAAATATGCAATAACGAAAATCATTCCATTCAATTTTCAATTTCTTTACCAATTGAATTTGAAATTTTGTACTTTTAACTTTTGATCAATTTTTTAATCGGTAGATAGCATTATTATTAGCATTTTAAGATTTATTGAAGTTCGAAGACTTCAAAGAGTAAAAAAAATGTTATACCTCCATGAAATTTTTGAGATTCTTATAATTTTTGCATTTTTGAAAAATATTTGGTTCTCGATATTTTTATAAATTATCTTTCTACAGAGTGTATTGCTTATTTCAGAGGCAACTTTGACTTAAAAAAAATTGTAGATTAAAAAAGCTATATTTTGAAGGTTCCTATAATTCCCCCAATTTTAAAAAACATTTAGTTCTGAATACTTTTCTAAATTGTCTTTCTACATAGTGTATTGGTTGTTTCAGAGGCAAATTTACATAAATAATTTTATAGATTAAAGAAATTAGTAAATGCCCACCCACCCTTTCTCCATATCAGTGAACACATGGCTTTGTTCAAAAATAAAAATAAGGATTTCACATTAACAAAAACTAAAACCTCGTGTATTTCATTTCTTATCCTCATTTTTGCCCATCAGAAATGAGGAAAGCTCACGTAAATAAGTTCATAAGTATAGAATGTCAAAAATCATTTTTTACCAACTGAATTTGAAATTTTACACTTTCAACTTTTAATCACTTTTGTAGTTGATAGATAGCATTATTATTATTAGCATTCTAAAATTTATTGAAATTTGAAGAATTCAAAGAGTAAGAGAAATGTTATAGCTTCATTAGATTTTGAAGATTCGTGTAATTTTTGCAATTTTGAACAATATTTGGTTAACGATATTTTTATAAATTATCTTTCCACAGAGTGTCTTGGTTATTTCAGAGGTAACTTTGACTTAAAATAATTTAAGTTAGATTTTGAAGATTCCTATAGATTTTCCAATTTTTAAAAATATTTGTTTCTAGATATTTTTCTAAATTCTACACAGTATATTAGTTGTTTCAGAGGCAACTTTAACCCAAGTAATTTTATACATTAAAAAAGTTAGTTTCTTTCTTTAGATGACCTAAACCGTGCATTTGATGCTTTAAATCATAAACTTATTTTTAGTAAAGTAGGAACCTAAGGAATCAGCGGTGGAGCTTTGCAATAGTTACAAAATTATTTAACAGGACGACAGCAGGTTATAAATGTATTACATATTAAACATATTGTTTGTTTTATTTCTGGCGAGTTTGAAATTAAAAAATGAAAAAACGGAAAAATCAAATGTTGTAGTTTTATTAAATTGGGTGTGCTCAAATTGCCATTTAACAGTGTTTTTATGCATAAAATCACAACATGACAAGTGTAGCTCGTACAAAGCTGATTTTAATGCTTAATTAATAATTTTTAAGAACGGCGAGTAAAGAATATGCTCTTCTTAGTATCTAAAACATAATAAAAAAATCATTAGTGGTAAATGACACTCACTATACAACCGTAGTAAATGTTTCCAGCGACAAATCTAGAATTTTTCCAGCAGTTACAATCATCGGTCGTCTGGACCGTTCCATTAATATTATTAGAGCTTTTTGTGACTTCAGATCATATTCGTACCACTTTCCCATATACACAGCTTGAATTAGCGTGTTATTCTAAAAAACAATTAACAATTATTTTTAAACTTCCTCCAAAGTAAAAGAATTGCACTTCTTCATAAAGCGTCGTGCCGTAAACACAAAACAAAAAAATTTCAGCAAGCATGGTACAGAGAAATGTCGTCATCCAGACAAAGTTCATCGAAAAAGGAGACACCTGAAAATTATTTTCTAAAAGTGATTTTTTCAATTATCGGGTGTTTGAATACTTGACTTAGTTTGAAGCAACATATACAAATGACGACAACGCTGGCACAAAATTGGGTGAAAGCTACGGAAGAATAAATCTTCTCTATGGTTTTTACAAACCTAAAAACGTAACATACAGGATACAATGTTAACGTTTTTGTTACGGTCTCACTCTATGATAATATTATGATGTGAAACGCAGTGCATTATTTGCTGATAAATTAACCCTGCTTCTGACTTCTCACCCAAATGTTGCAAATTATCTTTAAGAATTTTTATTTGACAAGTCGCGAAATAGGTCATTCCTGCAACTAATGGGTCTAGAGCTCCATCTGTTATTGCACTGTTGCCAGCTCCTAAACAAATAAAAAAACATAGTTTAAATGTAAATGTATAATTAATAATACCTGCAAGTACGTAGAAGAATGTCATAAAATACAGCTGTGAATTTTTCGTAAAGTCGTATGGCACCCAGATATCAATCGGGAATTTGTAGCCACTTTCAAAAAAAGGGGCGATGCCCCAAGTTATGACACACATGATACAAAAAACCAAAAATAGCAAACTGGTTCGTCTGCATGTTATTCTACAATCCTCAATAATAGTTTCTTGCTTTTTTGTGAATACCAGAAATATTGGGTGTTCCATCATGTAGATACTTTTTCTAATTTCTTCTCCGTTGAACACGAATGGCAGCACTTTTATTGTAAAACATCCTAGCTGACATATCACAAAAGCATTATCTGCTACCTTGTCTAAATCCACGTGTGGGGCCATGATTAAGTACAAACTAGACAAAATAGGAACTAGACTTGTAAACATGCAGTATACGGTAAAACTGTATAATTTATAGAAGTGTTTGTATTTTTGAGGAGAATAAAAACCCAAAACTCGCATCACCCCCAAATTAATGCCGAAAATGCTCTTAACAAGTTTTTTTCGGTTTTCCATGTTACTTATAAGTCGAAGTGAGCTTAAATAAGACAAACTGAAAATTCGTCAGTAATTTATAAACTTTTGTTGTTACATTATGAATGAGGAAAATACATAATTTGGTAAATATTCCAGTTACATTAAGTACACCTGCAGCAGGTAATTTAATTGCTTAAAAATAAATTTTACATTACCGGCTTTAATTTCCCGGTTTGTATTCAAACCCACACCACGAAATAATAGGTTCTTGCTTCTTGGACAATTACCAATTAATAAAATATTTGACGAGAACAAGAATTTATAATTAGTAATCGAATTATTTTTTTGTTTCAAACTATTCGATGGTTAAATTTCAATGCAGCATTAAATTTTCAGAACTCGGTATTCGACGAGTAAAAATTACTAGAGTTCTTATCATGACAGTGACAGGGAATGGACAGATCTTTGTTATAGCTGCGATCATATGGAGATATTGATAACGAAAACATTGAATAATGACAAAATTAAACCAGAACAGAATGATTTGTAATTTCTTTGTACACAGTTGAATGTTGAAGGTACGTACATTTTAATTAGGAAAAATTTCCGTCCGTCCTATCATATATTTCCTGCTGATTAAATTTTCCAGCTAGTTTTTTTTGTGTTTTCATGATTCACACATGTTCCTGTGCCTCTAATTTCTCGAGATCCTAGAATATGAAAAAGTTGGTCTTCCGTTTACGTCTTTGAGTTTGTCGCGTATCTGTCGTCTGAAGTCTATTGGTGATTTTATGAGACAAATGGTCTCCGATTATACTTGATGGGTTGTCGTAAATTTCAGATTTGTATTAAAAATGTCGTTACGTGGTAAAATGGTCAACAATTATGATGATGTCATCTCAAAATTTTGCTAAGTAAATCCTGTTTGAAACATGTAAAATTGTACGTCTATATACCTGTGGTTTATTAATCCACCCTTGTTTTAGAACTGAATAAGTCGGATTTTGAAAAAAAAATAAATAAAATTTTACAACCAATCTTAATCAATAATCACTGATGACGTCATTTCAAAATTTTAAAAAGCAAAATTCCACAAATTTTTCAACTTAATATACAGGGTGAGTCACTATGTACGTGGTCCTGGATGTCTCATTAGTTATTAAACATAGAAGAACAAGTTGCAGATCAATGTTGAACGGTTTTTTGACGATTTAATATACTTTATAATGATTTTTAACGAAAAAACAGAACACTGTTTATTTGAAAATAATTTTACAAATACTTTAAAAATGGGATGAATTTAGTCCCCGACTTAATTACTATTTTTTTCAATAATTACTGAGAATGACGTCTAGAAACTCACTGTTGGTGACTCACCCTGTATACATAGGCTTTCTTGAAATTTTTTTTCATTGGGTATACAAATAAAATCGCAATTCGGTAATTTTTAAAGTCCTTACGTCTTACAATATTTTGTGCAAGGATAAAAAAAGATGCGCACTTTGTTGTAGCATTAAGTAAATCAAAATTTTAATGTACTGAGTGTTTATAAAAAAAACTGAAACTTTAATATTTTCATTCTTCTAATATGTCCATGTGTCTCTAAAGTAAAAAATCGCAATAACTATCAACTTTAAATATAGAAAAAACTGAGCAAAAAAGAAAGAGAAAAAAATATATAATTAGACGCAGTAATAAAATATAGGGTGTGCTATTTAAAAAAAAAAAAGAAATATCGGTTTCTTAAAATTGTAATAATTAAAACATTTTTATAAACACAAAATTGGAATAACGTGACAACGCCGCACCGTAACTTCGTACCACGTGACCGACTCTACACCCATCAGACGTCGCTAAACACTCTGTATAGTTAAAAATCGTTATAAAGTATAGTTAGTCCCCAAAGAATCGTTAATTTTTGACTTTTTCTTCTGTTTCTAATATTTAGTGAGACATCAAGAAACCCGCGTTTAGTGGCTCATCCTGTATATTTTCAAATAATTCTTACATTAGACAGATAAACGCCTCTCAATTTTTTCGATGTCTATAAAACCATAAAAAATCGTAAAAATAAAGAATTACTACAATGGATGTAAACACAAATCAAAACTTTTCCTTGGTTTTTATTTTTGGTAAACTTACAAAAAAAATGAAACACGAAAGCATGGAATGTTGCAGTTTTATTCAACTAGGTGTGTACAAATTACCATTTAACAGTGTTTTTACACATAAAACAACATGGATAATATTTATATATCATCTGATTTCAATAGTAAATCAGTAATTTTTAAGAACAGCAAGTAGAGAATACGCTCTTCTTAGGATCTAAAATAAAATAATAAAACACTAGTGTTTAACAAATCTTACAATACAACCGTAGTAAATGTTTCTAGCGACAAATCTAGAATTTTTCCGGCAGTTACAACCATCGGTCGTTTAGACCGTTCCATTAAAACTATTAACGACTTCTTTGACTTCTGGTCATATTCGTACCATTTTCCCATATGTACAGCTTGCATTAATGTACTATTCTAAAAATCACTATTTTATAATTTCACTAATTTTCCAAAAATTAATACCTCTTCAAAAAGCGTCGTGCCGTAGATACAATACAAGAAAATTTCAGACAACATTGTACAAAGAAAAATCGCCATCCAGACAAAGCTCATTGAAAAGGAGGTCATCTGAAAAAACACAATACAGTCGAATTTCATTTTTTGAACAAGATTTTGGAGACCTGGCTGAGCCTAAAGCAACAAATGCAAATAACAAGAACACTGGCACAAAATTGCGTAAACACTACAAACGAAAACACATTTTCGTAATTTTCCACAAACCTGGAAGAAAATAATCACATTTTTTATAGTAGCACATGATTTTTGTCTTACTTTATGATAACGTTGTGATGATAAACGCAGTTTCTGATTTGACTGTATATTAATTCGTGTTTTAAATTTTCTGCATCACGCGGGTTTTCATTGTTGTTTCTCTCTGTTTCTAAGTGTTTACCCAAGTGTTGTAAATTGTCTTTCAAGATTTTTATTTGACAAGTTGCAAAGTAGGCCATTCCTGCAATTAGTGGATCTATTGCTCCATTAGATAGGGCTCCACTGCCAGTGCCTAAAATTGAAAATATTCAGAAATTTATATTTTTCGAACATTCTTAATTATTTAATTTAAAAAATGTTGAATCTTACCTGCAAATGTGTAAAGGTAACTTATAAGGTACAGCTTTTTATTTTTTCCAAAGTCGTAAGGCAACCACACATCTATCGGCAACTTGGGTTCCTTTTCGAACAGGGGCGTAATCGCCCAAGTTGTAAGACAGGCCGAACAAAAACTCAAAAATAAATAGCTTGTCCGTCTACACATTTTTCTACAATCCTGAATAATATGTTCCTGTTCTCTAGTAAACTTAACAAATGTTTCATGTTCCATCATGTAAATACTTTCCCTAATTTCCTTGCCATTGAGCAAAAATGGCAACATTTTAATAATAAAACATCCCAGCTGGCATATGATGAACGCACTGTCCGCTACTTTGTCTAAATTCAAATTCGGATCCGTGACTAGATACAAAGTCGACAAAACTGGTATTAGAAACGTAAATATACAATAAACTACAACTGAGTATAATCTGTACAAGAACCCACATTTCCGAGGAGGATAAAAACCAAGAACCCTCATAACTAACAAGTTCACACCGAAAATACTTTTAACTAACTGTTGTGTGTTATGTGGTGTGGTGCGTCGTTGGACCATATTTAGTGACTCAAACTCTCTGGAAAATAAAGTAAAAAATAAAATTCTGTAATAATATATAAACTATCAGGTCTGCATTATAAATGAGAAGTTTTCCGAAATATATCGTTTCGTAAATATTGCAGTTACACTTGCCTGTAATTTAATTGCTCCAGATAAAATAAATTTTACATTAACGAGTCTAATTGTGACACGAAATGATAGGTTCTTGGCGATTGCTTATTAATAAAATATTTGACGGCAGGAGAAATTAGACCAGGCGATGGAACCATTTTTAATTTTGAATTTTTTTCGTGACCTGAATTTGAGCATAAATTTTTCAGGGTTGTAAAGCAAAAAACGGGTTAATTTTACAGAGTTTGGAACGGTGACAACGTGTGGGAATACGAAATACTGTGATAGTAAATAGTGACGAGATGTTTGACACAGAAATACGTTTAGAAAGCAGGTGGTAAGTAGTGTTTTTTCGCAGCTACTATGTATCAAGTATAATATTAAAACACCGTTATCTAGAAAATATGTATAATTGTCACACTATATGCACTTATAAATACCGAATTTTTGTGATTTTTGCTCACAGATCCTAAATTTTATGATATGCAATTAACTTACATTTGATAAAATGACACATCCTGTATATTTTCGCTGTTCTGAGGATTCAGTTAAAAACGATACATTGTTATTACACCGAACATTACTGCCCCTGATATATACTTTATTTATAATATGCGTATTTTTATTTTAGATGGTTTCATTGTGATAATAACTTATTTGCAACATTTTTGTAAAATAATAAAAAATATTAAATGTTATTATCACCGTCATAATACGATATTTAACAATATATAACTAAAATAATATTTCAAAAATTTTTGAAATGACAGTAAAAATTTATTAAGCAAAATTTCATCAGTCTTTCTGTAGGCGGTAGATGGACAAATTTTTGATAAATTTTAGTTTAAAAAAAAATGTTTTCTGTTAAATTAATTTTTAAACATATATTGCGTGTGGCAAACTTGTGGAATTTTATTGCTACATTTTTCTTTCAAAAATCTCCAATAATCTAGTGTATTTTTGAACAGAGATGTGAGAAATCAACCATTTTATAGGAGCTGTGCACTATACGTTTCCTACACTATCCCTTGATAGTTTCTTATTTCATAATTAAGTAAACAATCACCAATTACAATTAACCACAAGATATGTGTTAATTAACAATATTTATAAAATAATTAATTAATAAACTGCTATTTTGGTATTATTAGTTAACACTTAAAATTAAACAATAGCAAAATCTACCAAACTAAGTATAAAAAATTAATTATATTTAACTATGACACCAGCAATCGCTTTTAATTACACTTAATTACTAATTGATTTCGTATTAATCTTGGTTAATTAGAACTAATATATTTTAATTAATTATGAATAAAAATTCTTAATTTTACGCAGTTGCTTTTTTTGAATTTAACGACAGTTTTAATTAAATGCAATTAATTGTAAATGTAATTACATTATGAATTATGATTACTTTGTACGGTGTGAATTTTGCTTTATTACTTTCAACTATAAAAAATGATCTTGTTAATAAACCATATGCGTTTCTAATTAATTTAAAACAACCACGAGTAAAATGAATGAATGTATCATGTATTAATGAATTAATTAATTACCTACCATACAGGGTGTTTCGTCGTGACTGATTAATAAAAATGACTATGAAACTAGTATCTGTATTACCAGAGTATTTAAAATTACGCTGAAAATAAAGGCAATAATTTTTAATTTCTCAATGACAAATAGTTTCTTTGGAAACATATTACGCTAGATAAGTTTCGAATTAATTTTAATCAATTACAATAATTAGATTAGCTTTAGTCATCGCTTTTGATAGGACTTGTGTACGTCAATTTTAATTAAATGTAATTAATTCGCAAATCATTTTTAATTATTCTCTCGTTATTAACTAAAATAATTTTCCAGATATCAGTATATATCTTCTAACCTTCTATTACTGAACCTAACCATATGTTAGTTTTCATAATTCTGGTGAAAGAGTTTGAAAAGGTTTTGGGGCTCCTGATAATTTTGAAAGAGTTTGAAATAAACTTGGATTCCTCTAGTGGTTTATTAAAGTCAAACAATCTTGTATCTTAGTAAATACTAGCCCCGCCCACCCGCCCTCGTCTTTTTTCTTAGAGTATAATCTTAGTCTAATCTTCGGAAGTACAGTACTTTCTAAGATACGACTAATTTTGGCCAATGACATATCTTCTAAGGAAACAAAGGGTGGGTGGGCGGGGCTGGTACCTGCTAAGAAAGGAATGATTTTGGCAAATCATATACTTTTTAAAATAATAAGGGGGTAGGTTGGCGCTAGATAGTACTTGCAAGTACTACCCCGCCCACCCATCCTTTATGAATATGAATGAATATTCATCCGGATATCTTCCGGCTTTCATTCAGTAATAACTTAGTGTTGTTAAATAGCCGGTTATTTTCAAAAATACCCTTAATAGCTGGATATTTTTCCAGATATTTAACCCAATATTTTCCGGCGATCTATTTTCTAACAGCATTAATTTTAACTAAATTTCACTAAGACACCAGTAATTATTTTAAATTACCCTTAATTACTAATTGGTTAAGTATCAATCTTGCATAATTACAATTAATGGTGTTCTGTTAAATATGAATTAGTTCTTAATTCCACGTAATTACGTTTATTGAAATTAATTACAAAGTATTTTAACTAAAAGCGTTGAATTGTAATTTTATAATTATATTAAAATTACTAATTTTTTTATTGTTTTAAGCAGAAGCAATTATATTACCTACCTGAATTTAATTAGTGAATAGTTAACTGAATGTTTTTCCAATTAATGTGTTAAGTATTTTAATGAATTAATTAATCTACAGAATGTTTCACAGTGAAAAATTTTACTTTTGAAAAATGTGTCTAAAAATCCGCAAAAATTCTAGGCATTTTTTTTAATATTCGGTTTGAAATTCAATGTTTTAAATAAAACATTGACTCAAGGTTGCTTCGGCAGAACTTCCCTCGCCCTTGAAGTATAATCCAACAAATTCCGCTTCTTTGAAAAATTATAGAAAATTTGTGTTTTCTGATTAACTCTATGTAGTAAAAATCATTGATGTAAATGACACCTAGAATCCCCTACGCCGCGGGAGTGCAAATGCCAAGGGGGTGCCATCTGCAGATATACAGACAATATGAAATGTACTCAAAGCAAATAACCAACGGAAAAAAGTGTATTATTATCAGTGTACATGCTTAACTTCAATTGTTTATGTTTATACATCGAAAGAATGTCACGTAGACATTTGTTAATTTGAGTGAATTTTCTTCTCAAAAAAGAAACCAGAATGGAAAAAATGTTTTGAATTTGATTATTATTATTCTTATTTGATCATTATTAAATACAAACGTGGGTAGTCTCACATTTTTTAGAAAATTGGTCGAATGTTATAAAAATCCGACAAAGCTTGCTCTTTAAAAAAATTATAAAATTTTATTTTATGATTTTCGTTGTGTGATAACCGCTGTAAAGTACAAACCAAAGGCACAAATAACACCCCTTGTTCTTCAGCACTAAGAAATAGCCAGCTGAATCTCAAGTGTTTATTTGTGTTTATACATGGAAAGAATGTCACGTAGAAATTAGTTTGATTTTAATGAGTTTGTTTTCTCAAAACAGGATAAAATTATTAATTAAACCACAAACGAACAAAATGCTCTGAATATTATAATTCTTATTTTATCTCTATTATATATAAGTGCGACTTTTTGGAGAAAATGGGGTGACTCGGTCTTAATTACTCGAAAAATTGTAATAGTTATCGAAGAAATGGTCTAAAAAGTAACTTTAGGAGATCGAACTCTACAAGAAAATGTCTTGAGCTAAATTTCGATGGTGGTAGGAAAATATTGAAATTTTCATAAGGTAGGTTTGACAATTTTTCTCTTTAGAAGAAATTGTCTAAAAATGCGCAAAAATTTCTGGGATATAGTTTTCGACGTATTGATTACAAAAATATACGTGTTAATGGTCCTGTCCAATCCAAAAATGTCACAATTTAATGGGCGATGCTGGAAAAATGGTAGAAGTTATCGAAGAAATGATTCTGAAAGTAACTTTTGGAGGTCGAAATCTAATGAAAATACCTTGGTTAAAAAAAATGAAAAAAAAGTCAAAATTTTCATAAGGGAATAATGAAAAATTTTGCAATTGAAAAAGTTGATAAAAATCCAGAAAATAAAAAGGTAGCGCGCTTGTGATCCCGGAACAACATTTCAGAAATGTTCGGTTTGAAATTATTTTTTTTTGCTCAGTGACAAAAATTATTAAAATTCTATTAATTGTAGCCCATTTACCGCTATGTAACACGCTGTATAATTATATCCTTTGATGTATTTATCCATACTCATTCTTTCTTTATTACTTAGTTAAAGTAATTCGTAAATTTCTAGATTTGTTTGTTTTATGTTTTTGAGTTTTGTGATATATTTTTTTTTTATTTGATGTACGAGATTTTAAAAATAATCCAGGACAACGGTTTAGAACCAGTGGATTTTTTTTGTTTAATTTGACATGAGTTGTTATAAAATATTCTCCATAACGATAACGTTGAGATATAGGAATCTACAATATGATCGAAAAAAAATCCTTTAGTAGACCATTAAGTGTTGCCAATATCGTTTTTTAAAAATAAATTTTATGACCTACTAAGCACTTTTTTGGGTCATACGGTATCTATCTGTACATTTTCCATAGTTTTTACATCAAAATTATATTATGACTACAGACTTTGCATTTATTCACACTGGCTGTTTTTTATAAAACAACAAGTAAAATAACAACAACAAAATAACTTTATAGCACTAAAACTTTTCCATCTCAAAATAGTAACTTCTGTAAGACGTGTGCAGAAACTTCAGTAATTCTTTAAAACGGCAAGTAGCGAATAAGATCTTTTTAAAATCTGGAAAAGAAAGAATCCACATTACGTTATCTTTAAATTTGTGGCAGTTATTTTTATTACCATTGTAAATGTTTCTAACGACAAATCGAGAATTTTTCCCGAAGTAACAATCATAGGTCGTTTACAACGTTCCATGAAAATTATTAAACATTTTTTGGATTTCTCACTGTATTCGTACCACTCACTCATATAGGCAGAAGTTGTTAACGAAAAACTCTGAAAAAAAATTTACAATCAGATCCTGTATTTTTACACGACTTACTTCTTCAAACAAGATTGTTCCGTAGTAACAATAAAATAATATTTCTATTAAAACAGCATTAGTGAAAATGATCATCGAAAAAAAACCCATTGTAAATGGCTCAACCTAAAAAAACTTAATTACTTTATTTACAGTCGAAAAAGTTTTAGTTTACAAATCTTAGTTGCAAACACGAAACACAAATCACCACTACACTTGCTGAAAATTGCACAAAGACCATAAAAGAGAAAGTTTCTTCATATTCGTCAACAAAACTAAAAATAATACTTTTATTAACTGATTTCGACGGGTTTCAATTTTTGTTTACTTTATAATCGTCTTGTGAAGTTTGGCGCAGAATTTCAATCGTTGGTACACAATTTTCGATTTAAGTTCAATTACGCCCTCTTCGATATCTCCACTTTTCACTTCATTGAACTGTTCTTCAGCATATTCACTCATATTCTCTAAATTATCCTTCAGTATTTTGATTTGAGTGGCTGCATAATATAAAAGTCCGCCAATTAGAGGATCAATTGCACCGTTTAATAGTGAGTCGATGAAAACTCCTTCAGAATATTTTGTATCATGACAATTTGAAAAAAAAAACCATTGAGTCAAACAAATACCTGTTACCATAAAAATGTAGGTCAAAGTGTATGGTAACCCACCGCCTGTTGTGTCATACGGTAACCACACATCCAGAGGTAACTTGTACTCGTTTCCAAACAAGGGCACAACTGCCCAGCTTCCAGCCGTCAGTATGCAGAAAAAGTGAAAAAATTTCGCGTTTCTGGTACACACATGTACACAGTCATCCATTATTTGGTCCTGAGTTTTAGCATAATTTGTAAATATTGGAGACTCCACCAAGTAAATACACTTTCTGATTTTGTCGGCATTCCGTATAAACTGTAACAGTTTAAAAACAAAACATGTAGTTTCCCCTATAGAAAACGCATTTTGAGCTATTAAAGCCAGATCGACGTTTTCTCCCAGTAGCAAATATAGCGAGGGTAGTACTGGTACCGGAACAATGAAAAAAATGTACACTATGTATGCGTACACTTTGTATATAATTTTGTATTTTTTCGTTGGGTACAACCCTAACAGTCGCATCACGGTTAAATTGAGAGAAAATAATTGTCTGACTAGTTCGGTCATATTACGGACAAAGTGAGGAGGGAAAATAATTTACGCTTCTTATCAACTGAAAGATCGTGCATTATAAATGACACAAATAAGCAGTCTAGTATAAAAAAGCAAATTATTATTTTCTTAAATTGTTACTGTGCTATTAAGATAGATAATTACCACAAAATCGTATAAATTTTACATTAAGCAATTTCATGCGATCTTAAATGAGTAACCAGAAATAAAATTGTGTCAGTTTTTTGTTAAAAATGTCAAAAATAAACGAAGGTTTGGGAAAACTAGATGTGGTTTAGAATGTCAAGGTTTGGTATTAATTTATAAATGTTGTACAAGGTAAATTTAAAATTATGACAAATTAAAAATAGTTTCATACTTTTTAGTAACATTAATTTTGAAATTGGCGGTTTTCTGATATTCCTCGAATGGAACAGCTTGTATTTTAATACTTTCAAGTCTATTTTTCAGGAAGCTTGTTTAGGGAGCACTCTTTTGGACTTTCCATAACACTAATTACTGGAAAATTTTTGGACTACATCTCAACAAAGTTACTATCAAAATGAAACATGGTTAGAACAAAACAAGAAAATGTTATAAAATGCAGGATGGTCCATGTTTCGTTTTACGTTTCCGGAACATGTGAGCGTTTGAAGAATACAAAAGTGCAGGTTTTCGTTTCTGTTTATCATATATTTATTTATAACAATTTTATACATAAATGTTTAAAGCACAACATCACATCTCTAAAATTGGTTGGCTTACTAATGAAGTTTGTTCTAGTTTCCTTATATAACTGAAACATAAAGTCGCCGAGACAGTGTTATACAATATTGTAACATTTATATAATGTAAGTGCACTTATTGAAAAATCGAACTTTTGAAAAATTCACAAAAAAATCACACATCTCCACGTAGTGATTGGTAAAATATGGCGTGTTTATGGTCAAGGAGCAGAATTTTAGACTTATACGGTTTATTCTACAAAAAAATCTCTCCAAGTAATTTTCAAAAGTGGTCGAAAAAAGGTTCAAATTATCATGAATTTATCTTTGAAAAATTGAACTTTTCAAAACAATAAAAAATCCATAAAAAAATTTTCAAAAAATATAGCTCGTTTCTATTTCTGGACCAAGATTTTAGAAATATTCGCCATAAAAGTATTTTTTTTTAATCCCAAAGATCACCATATTTCATTATAAAATTCTGGAATAATCTGGTAGGAATTTTTGAAAACAACTCATGGAATACGAAAACGAAAATATACAAAAGCATCTCGTTATATAATTTTCGAAGGTGGTCCAAAAAATGTCGAAAGTTTCACAAGGAGGATGCGCGTAGTGAAATAATGAGCTTTTGAAAAAGTTGTCCAAAAATCTACAAATATTCTAGGAAATACCTAAATATTTACGTACTTGATCGAAAAAAAATTGCAATTTCTCGTTCCGGAGCAAGGTTTTAGAAATATTAACTTTTGAAACTTAATTTTTTTTTAAGTCCTAAAAGTTCCATATTTACTTGGGTGATTCTGGAAATATCTAAGTAACAAAAATTTCTTTAAGTAACTTACCAAGTTGGTTGAAAAAAGTTCCAAACATTCATGAATTTTCTTTGAAAAATTGAGATTTTGGAAAAGTTGGCTAAACATCCACAAAAAATTCTGGGAGAGAGATCTCTACGTACTTTTTTCAAAAATATAGCGTGTTTCATTGTTCTGGACTAAGATTATAGAAATATTGGCTTTGAAAGTTTTTTTACACTAAATTGACATATTTATTTGGAAAATTCTGGAAGAAATGGGCCAAAAATAACTTATCCAGGTTGAAACCTACAAAAAAATCTCTTTGGGTAATTTTCGAAGGTGGTCAAAAGAAGTTCGGGCTTTTCGTAATGGGAGAATCCACAAAAAAATCTGGGATATTTTTTATGAAGTCCTAAAAATTCCATATTATTCCATTCAGGAAAAATTTAAGAGTTTTTGAAGAAAAAAGAAAACAGCTAGTAAATTCTGAAAACCGGAATCTACAAGAAAAAGCTCTTTAAGTAATTTTCAACAGTGGCCAAAAAAAAGGTCGAAATTTTCATGAATTTTCTTTGAAAAATTGAGCTTTAGGATATACTTATTATCTAAAAATTCACAAAAAATTCTGGGGGAGATATTTAGACGTAGTTTTTCCAAAAGTATATTGTATTTTAGTGTTCTGGACCAAGATTTTAGAAATATTCGCTTTCAAAGTGAATTAAAAAAAATCCAAAAATCGCCATATTTCCTTCGAAGACTATGGAAAAGTGAGAGGATCTTTTTTGAAAAAATGAGAACGAAATCCTGGAAAAATAGTAGCTTTCGAAGTTGGTCTGTAAAAGATTCAAATTTTCATACTAAGAATGTTGAAAAATTGAACTTCTGAAAAAGTAGTCCAAAAATTCACAAAACTTTCAGGAATATTGACATACTGGTTCCAAAAAATAGCATGTTTCTGGTCCTGGAGCAAGATTTTAGAAATATTAGGCTTGAAAGTCAATTAAAAAAATAATCTTAAAAATTTTCGTTTTCATTGGCCATCATGGAAAAATGGTAGAAAAGTCTAGAGGTTGAAATCTAAAAAAGCTCGAAATTTTCAAAAATTTATTTTCCTTTAAAAATTGAGTTTCAGCAAAAATTTTCTAAAAATCCACAAAACAAATTGAGAAATAAATCTCAAAACATAATGACTCGAAAAAAAAAATAACATGCTTCTGGGCCAGAAACAAAATTCTGGAAATAAATTAATATTGGGTATGAAAGCCAATTTAAAAAAAACTAAACATTTCTGTTTTCATTAGCCGATTCCGCAAAAATTGTAAATCTTTTCGAAGAAATTTTAGAGATCGAAATTTACAAGAACATCGCCTTAGGTAGTTTTCGAAAATGATCGGAAAAAGATCGAAATTTTCATACTGAAAATTTCTACTTTTGAAAAAGTTGCCCAAAAATCAACAAAAATCCTGAGATATATATTTTGTCGCTTTGGTTCAAAAAAATTACGTGTTTCTGATCCCGGCACAAGATTTTAGAACTAGTCGGTTTGAGAGTCAATATCTTTAAGTCCTAAAAATACCATATTTCATTGGAAGAATTGGTAATTATGAAAAAAGTCAAAATTTTCGTAATGAGGGTGTTCGGTTTTCGGTTTCACCTACCAACCGCAACCCTTGTCAACAAGCGTCCCCAACTTTCTCTTCTACCTGCAATGTATCGCTTCCGATTTTAACAACTTTGTACATAGACTCCGAACTGTCAACAACAAGTAAATACAGTGTTACACAGCACATGTTTGTGTTTCATTTTATATCAATCTTTTTCGGTACGTATGTATGAATAACAATCATACATCCAACAGAGGGAGTTGAAAAATCTACAAAAATGTCTGGAATATAGGTTTTGACGTACTAATTCGGAAAAAATAGCAAAAGTCTAGAAACACTCGGTTTGAAAGTCAATTTTTTATTAAATCTTAAAAATTTCACTTTTTATTGGGCAATTCTGGCAAAATTTAAGAGTTTTCTAAGAAATGAGACCGATTTTCAAAAGTGGCGAAAAACAGGCTGAAATCTTCATGAATTCTATCTGAAAACGTAAGTCTTTTTTTCAGAAATAAAGCATGTTTATGGTTCTGGACTAAGATTTTATAAATACTAGGTTTGAAAATTAAGAGTTTTGAAAGAAATTAGCCCTTTAGTAAATTTTAGACATTGAAATCTAAAAAAAATCTTTTAAGAAAATTTTTGAAAATGGTTGAAAAAAGGTCCAAATTGGATTAATTTTCCTCGCAAAATTGAGTTTTTGAAGAAGTTTATTAAAAATCTAAAAAATTCTGGGGGAGAGGTCCATAGGTACTTTTATCAAAGCTATAATAGCGCGTTTGTGGTTCTGGACCATGATTTTGGGAAATATTGGAATGGAAAATTTTTTTAGTCCAAAAAACTGCCATAATTCACTGAAGATTTCTGGAAGCCAAAATTAATTCATGTAGTTTGAAATCTACAAAAAAAATGTTTGGATAACTTTCGAAAAAGTCGGAATTTTCGTAATGAGGGAGTTGAAAAATCCACAAAAATATCTGGAATATAGGTTTTGACGCTCGGTTTGGAAGTCCAAAAAATTCCACTTTTCATTGAGCAATTCTGGCACAATTTAAGAGTTTTCTAAGAAGTGAGACCGATTTTCAAAAATGGCCGAAAACAGGCTGAAATTTTCATTATTCTATTTGAAAACTTGAGTCTTTTTTTCAGAAAGAAAGCATGTTTATGGTTCTGGACTAAGATTTTATAAATATTAGGTTTGAAAATTAATTTTAAAAAATACAAAAAATTTCCAAAAAAATTTACAAAAAAAAAAACTCTTTAGGTAATTTTCAAAGATGCCCAAAAAAGGATCGAACTTTTGAAAAATTTTCCTTCAAAAGTAAGCATTTGGAAAATTTGTCCAAAAATCCACAAAAAATTCTGGAAGGACGTAGATCTCGACACAGTGATTCGAAAAAAAAAAATAGCATGCTTCTTTTCCCGGAACAAAATTTTAGAAATAATGGGTTTGAAATCAATTTAAAAAAAATACTAAAAACGTCCGTTTTCGTTGGACGATCCTTATAAAGATAAGATAAAAGTTTTTAAAAGAAATGAGGTTGCTAGTATATCTAGAGGTTAAAATCTACAAAAAAATCTCTAGGTAATTTTCGAAGACGGTCTAAAACAGGTTGGAATTTTCATAACACAAAAAAATTTAGGAGAGAGATCTCTACGCATTTTTGTCAAAAATATACCATGTTTAAAATTCCTTACCATTATTTTATAAATATTCGATTTTTTTATCTCAAAAACTGCCATATTTCGTTGGAAAATTCTAGAATAAATATGAAAAATCCCTTTAAGTAATATTCAAAGGTGATCGAAGAAGACAGAAATTTTCATAAAGAGAAATTATTGAAAAATTGATCTTTTGAAGAATTCCAAAAATTAACAAAAAATTCTAGGAAATAAATCTTGACATATTGATTCGAAAAGTACAGGGTGCTTCAACAACAAAATAATGTTAGGTTAGAAAATGTCAATTATCTGTCAACCCGACTGCCGATAAGATAGTAATAATTAAATCATCCATGCTATGAAGTGTATTGGATGATTACTCTGTTATAAATAATAGATGTTAAAAATTTTGACAATTCTGGTCAGTGGGTATTGTATAAATTAATTTTTATTTTTAATAAGTACCTAAATTTTATTTATTATTTGGTTTTTAAAACAATGAGTTTGGCAACACCAACGCCTTATTAGTCCGCCTTAACAGTTACGGTCAAATATCTGTGAAATAAAGTGTCATTATTTTTAAAATAAGTTTTGTGACATACTAGGGGATTTTTTTTTCGTTCATACAATTTTATCTGTATATTTTCCACAGTTTTTACATTTTGACAGACTTTGCAATTTGAACTAACTATTTTTATAAACAACATTTAAAGTAACTAATAATATCGTGGACGAAGTGTGTAGCAACTTCAATAATTCTTCAAAACGGCAAGCAGTGAATACGATCTTTTTAAAATCTGAAAAAGAACAATCAAAATTACATTAATCCAAAATGTGTGATTTCTATTACCGTTGTAAACGTATTTAACGATAAATCAAGAATTTTTCCCGAAGTAACAATAATAGGTTTTTTACAACGTTCCATGAAAATTATTAAGCTTTTTTTGGATTTCAGACTGTATTCATACCATTCACTCATATATGCAGCAGTTGTTAATGAAAAACTCTGAAAAAATGAAAGTTTACAGAATTTAGTGTCGTTCTCACACGATTTACTTCTTCAAATAAGATCGTTCCATAGTAACAATAAAACAATATTTCCATTAAAACTGCATTAATGAAAATGAGCATTGAAAAAAAACTCATCGTAAAGGGCTCAACCTAAAAAAAATTGTTTACTGGATTTGTGGTAAAAACATATTAGTTTACAATTATTAGTTGCAAACACGAAATACAAATCACCACTACACTTGCTGAAAATTGCACAAACACCATCGAAGTGAAAGTTCCTTCATATTCTTCAACAAAACTAAAAATAATAATTTCATTAACTGATTTCGCAACGTGCTTGAATTTTTTTTGTTTACTTTAAAATCGTCTTGTGAAGTTTGACGCAAAATTTCAGTCGTTGGTACACAATTTTTGATTTAAGTTCAATTATTTTCGCGTCGTTATCTTCACTTTTAACTTCACTGAGTAAATGTTGTTCAGCGTATTTATTAATATTTTCTAAATTATTTTTCAATATTTTGATTTGAGTGGCTGCATAATATAAAAGTCCACCAATCAAAGGATCAATTGCACCGTTTAACACTGAGTCGATTGAAACTCCTGAAAGAAAATTGTGTATCAGTATCACTATAACTTAAAAATTTTAAAACAAGTACCTGATACAAGAAAAATATAGCTTAGAATATACGGTAACCCACCCCTTGTAACATCATAAGGTAACCAAATATCTAGCGGTAACCTGTACTCTTTTCCAAACAAAGGAACAACTGCCCAGCTTGCAGCTGTCAGTATGCAAAAAAACTGAAAAAAATTCGAATTTCTAGTACACACATGTACACAGTCATCCATTATTTGTTCCTGCGTCTTAACATAATTTGTAAATATTGGAGACTCCACCATATAAATACACCTCCTGATTTTGTCGGAATTTCGTATAAACTGTAAAAGTTTAAATACAAAACACCCAGTTTCCCCTATAGAGAACGCATTTTGGGCCACTAAAGCCAGATCGACGTTTTCTCCAAAGAGCAAATACAACGAAGTCAGTATTGGTGTCGGAACAACGAAGAAAATGTACACTGTGTATGCGTACACTCTGTATATATTTTTGTAGTTTTTCGTTGGGTAGAACCCGAAAAGGCGCATCACGCTTAAATTGAGAGAAAATAATTTTCTGACTAGTTGGGTCATGTTGCGGTACGAAGTGAGGGAATAATTTACGCCACTTATCAACTGAAAGATCGTGCATTATAAATGACACAAATAAGCAGTTTAAGAAAAAAATCGAAATTATTGTTTTCTGAAATTGTCACTGTGCTATTAAGACAGATAATTACCACAAAATCGTATGAATTTTACATAAAGTAATTTCATGCGATCTTAAATGAGTAACCAGGAATAAAATTGTGTCAGTTTTGTTGTTAGAGATGTCAAAAATAAATACAGAAATGGGAAAAATAGATGTGGTTTAGAATTTCAAGGTGCGGTATTAATTATAAAATTGTGTAAAATGTAAGTGGAAAATTATGGCAAGTTAAAAATAGATTGAAGGTTTTTTTAAACAATGGTTCGCGTATTCATAGCATGATAGAGATAAACAATTTAAAAAAATAAATTTGTTTTTGAAACAGCCACGTTTTACCTAATTTTTGTCATTAGTAATTATTATTTTCAACATACCTCCAATTGTATGTGAAAAAATTTTCACACTTCATAATTCCCGTTTAAAACTGGCGACAAGGACTCCTACTTACAAAAATTTTTTTGGTTATTTTGATTTTGTAAATTGCCGGTTTTCTTATATTCTTCGAATGGAACAGCCTGTATTTTAACATTTTCGAGTCTAGTATTCATGACAGCTTACCTATGGAAACAAGACAAGAAAATGTTGTAAAATATTGGATGTTTCATCTGAAAAACATGAGAAAACTGTTGATAGGAAAATTCTTGTATCATTGTTTTCTTTTCTCGTAACATCTAAATCTGTAACTATAGAATACTACATAGAAATATCTATGATTTTTTTATATTATATGTTTTGATTATTTTTATTTTCGATCAAGAAGTAAAGAGCACATGGTTGTAGAAGCATTTCCACAAATGTCGAATTTTACGTTTTCTGAATATCTGACAGACTGAAGAATTCAAAAATGCAGATTATTTTCGTTTATTTGTTGTAAATTTGTATTTCATTTTGGTCTATCTCTTGTAAATAGGTATATTATATTTGTTTAAAATAAATAATTTTTGGGGGCAAAACAACTAACAAATCCGCTGCAGGTCAATTCGACAAGAATTCAGGAATATAGATATCGACGTGAGGATTCTAAAAATATAGCGTGTTTGTGGTCCCGGATAAAGATTTTCCAAATATTCGGCAATAAATTCAAGTTTTTGAAGAAATCCTAAAATTTAAGTAATTTCTAGAGATCGAAATCTACAAGAAAATGTGTTTAGGAAATTCTCAAAAATGGTCGAAAATTTATCAAAATTTTCATAGGGGGGAGTGAAAATTTGAGATTTTGGAAATTTGTCTAAAAATACTCAAAAAATTCTGTAGTAGTGATTCGAAAAATCTATAGCTTTTTCACAGTATCGGATAACGATTTTCCAAATACTCGGCTTGAAATTGAATTTCTTTAATTCTAAAAACTGCCATATTTCAACAGGCGATTCCGAAGAAATGATAGGAGTTACCGAAGAAAGGAAATCAAAAGTAACTTCTAGAGTTCGAAATCTACAAAAAAATGTGTTTCGATAATTTTCAAAAATGGTCGAAAATGGATCGAAATTTTTAGAAGGGTGTATTGGAAATTTAAATTTTGAAAAAGTTGCCCCACAATCCTCAAAAAATTCGGGGATATGGATCTTGACGTGCAAATTCAAAAAATATAGCGTGCTTGGGGTCTCGGATGACGATTTCGGAAATTTTCAACCTGAAATTCAAATTTTTTAAGAAATCCTAAAAACTGCCATATTTCAAAGGGCAATGCCAAAAATTATTAGGAATTATCGAAGAAACTAAACCGGAAGTAAGTTCCATAAGTCGAAATCTTTAAGAACATGTGTTTAGGTAATTTTTTAAAATTGTAAAAAATGGGTCGAAATTTTTGTAAGAGGGATTGGAAATTTGAAATTTTGAAAAAGTTGCCTAAAAATCCTCAACAACTCCCGGGTTATAGATCCTGACGTGCAGATTTGAAAAATATAGCGTGCTTGGGGTCTCGGATGACGATTTTCGAAATTTTCGGCATGAAATTCAATTTTTTTAAGAAATCCTAAAAATTTTCATGTGTCAACGGGCAATACCGGAAAAATATTAGGAATTATCGAAGAAACGAAACCGGAAGTTAGTACCACAGCTCGAAATCTATAAGAAAATGTGTTTAGGTAATTTCCGCAAATGGTCGAAAATAGATAAAAATTTTCATAAGGGAGATTTTATTAGAAATTTGACATTTTGAAAGACTTGCCTAAAAATCCTCAAAAAATTCTGGGATATAGACTTCGATATGCAAATTCGATAAATATAGCGTGCTTAGGGTCTACAAAGTCGATTTTCGAAATATTCGGCTTGACATTAAATTTTCTTAAGAAATCCTAAAAATTGCCGCAATTTAATCAACGATTCCGAGAAAATGCAAGAAGTTATCGAAGAAACGAAACTGGAAGTAACTTCTATAGGTCGAAATCTACAAAAAAATGTGTTTAGGTCATTTTCAAAAATTGTAAAAAATGCGTTCAAATTTTTATCGTATATATTATTTTATCGGCTGTATCGGAAATTTGATATTTTAAAAAAGTTGCGTAAATATCCTCAAAAAATTCTGGGATATAGACCTTGACGCTCAAATTCGAAAAATATAGCCTGCTTGGGGTCTCAGATAACTATTTCCGAAATTTTCGGCCTTCAATTCAACTTTTTTAAGAAATCGTAAAAATTGCCATTATTCAATGGTCGATGGCGAAAAAATATTAGGAGTTACAGAAGAACGGAAACCGGCAGTAACTCCGCAGTATATGTCGAAATCTACAAAAAAATGTGATTAAATAATTTTGGAAAATTGTGAAAAATGGCTCGGAATTTTTGTTACGACGATTGGAAAATTGAAATTTTGATAAGTTGCCCAAAAATCCTCAAAAAATTCTGGACTATAGACCTCGACGTGCAGATTCGAAATATATAAAGTGTTTAGGGTCTCGGATGACGATTTCCGAAACTTCCGGCCTGAAATTCAAATTTTTTAAGAAATCCTAAAAACTGCCATAATCCAATGGGCGATGCCGGAAAATCATTAGGAATTATAGAAGAAACGATACCGGAAGTAACTACTAGAGCTTGAAATCAACAAGAAAATGCGTTTAGGTAATTTTCGTAAATGGTCTAAAGTCGAAAATAGGTCAAAATTTTCACAAGGGAGATTTTATTAGAAATTTGAGAATTGAAAAAGTTGCCTAAAAATCCTCAAAAAATTCTAGGATATAGATTTCGACGTGCAGATTCGAAAAATATAGCGTGCTTGGGGTCTAGGAAGATGATTTTCGAAATATTCGGCTTGAAATTAAATTTTCTTAAGATATCCTAAAAATTACCACAATTTAATGAACGATTCCGAAAAAATGCTAGAATTTATCGAAGAAACGAAACTGGCAGTAACTTCTATAGGTCTAACTCTACAAAAAAAATATGTTAAGGTAATTTTGAAAAGTTGTATAAAGTGGGTCGAAATTTTTTAAGAGGAAAAATTGGAAATTTGAAATTTTGAAAAAGTTACCTAAAAATCCTCAAACATATTCTGGGATATAGATCTTGACCTGCAGATCAGAAAAATATAGCGTGCTTGGGGTTTCGGATGACAATTTCGAAAATTTTGGACCTAAAATTAATTTTTTTTATGAAATTCTAAAAATTGCTGCATGTATTTCAATGGGCGATGCCAGAAAAGTGGTACCAATTATCAAAAAAAGGAAACCAGAAATAGCTACTAGAGGTCGGAATCTACAAGAAAATGTGTTTGGGTAATTTTCGAAAATGGTCGAAAATTGTTCAAAATTTTCGTAATGGAAATTTCAGATTTTGAAAAAGTTGTCTAAAAATCTTCAAAAAATTCTGGGATATAGATCACGACGCGCTGATTCGAAAAATATAGCGTGTTTGTGGTCTCAGATAAGCATTTTGGAAATATTCGGCTTAAAATTAAATCTGGTTAAGAAATCCTAAAAATTGTCATATTTCAATGGACGATGCCAGAAAAGTGGTACCAGTTATCGAAAAAACGTAACCGGAAGTAACTTCTAGAGGTCGAAATCAATAAGAAAATGTGTTTAGGCAATTTTCAAAAATAGTCGTAAATAGGTCGAAATTTTCAAAAATGGATACCTATCGGAAAATTGAGATTTTGAAAAAGTTACCTAAAAATTGTCAAAAAATTCTGGTACATAAACCTCGACATGCAAATTCGAAAACTCTAGCGTGTTTGTTGTCTTGGATAACGATTTCCACAATATTCGACTTGAAATTAAAGTTTTTTAAGAAATCCAAAAATTTCCATATTTCAATTAGCGATTCCAAAAAATGGTAGTAGTTATCCAAGAAATGAAATCGGAGTACCGTTAGAGGTCGAAATCTACAAGAACATGTGGTTAGCTAATTTTTGAAAATGCTCGAAAATGGGTCGAAATTTTCATGAGTATAAGAAATTTCAAATTTTGAAGAAGTTGCCTAAAAATCCACAAAAAATTCTCAAATATAGATCTCGACGTTAATTCGAAAAATATATCGTGTTTGTGCTCTCGGACACCCATTTTCGCAATATTCGGCATGAAATTAAATTTTGTTAAGAAATCCTAAAAATTGCCGAAATTTAATGGGCGATTCCAAAAGAATGCTAGAAGTTATCGAAGAAACAAAACCGGAAATAACTTCTAGAGGTCGAAATCTATAAGAAAATGTGTTTAAGTAATTTTCGAAAATGGCAGAAAACGGGTCGAAATTTTTATAGGTATATTGTAAATTTTAAATTTTGGAAAAATTGCCTAAAAGTCTTCAAAAGATCTTAAGGTGCAGATTTGAAAAATATAGCGCGTTTGGGGTCTCGGATGACAATTTCGGAAATTTTAGTCCTAAAATTCAAATTTTTTAAAAAGCCTAAAAATTGTCATATTTCAATGGGCAGTGCCAAAAAATATTAGGAATTATTGAAGAAACTAAACCGGAAGTAACTTCTATAAGTCGAAATCTACAAGAACATGTGTTTAGCTAACTTTCGAAAATTGTAAAAAATGAGTCGAAATGAGAGGAAATTCGGAAATTGGAAATTTGAAATTTTGAAAGAGTTGCCTAAAAATCCCAAGGCGCAGATTCGAAAAATATAGCGTGTTTGTGGTCTCGGATAACCATTTTCAAAATATTGGGCTTGAAATTAAATTTTCTCGAGAAATCCTAATAATTGCCATATTTCAATGGCGAATGCCCGAAAAGTGGTACCAGCTATCGAAGAAACGAAACCGAAAGTAACTACTAGAGGTCGAAATATACAAGAAAATGTGTTTAGGTAATTTTCGAAAATGGTCGAAAATAGATTAAAATTTTCATTTTTTTTTTTTAGAAATTTGAGACTTTGAAAAAGTTACCTAAAAATCCGCAAAAAATTCTAGGATATAGATTTCGGCGTGCAGAATCGAAAAATATAGCGTGCTTGGGGTCTAGGAAGACGATCCTAACATTGCTATATGTATTTCAATGGGCTATGCCGGAAAAGTGGTACTAATTTTCGAAAAAAGGAAGCCGGAAGTAACTACCAGAGGTCAGAATCTACAATTGGGTAATTTTCGAAACTGGTCGAAAATAGGTCAAAATTTTAAAAATTTCGGAAATTTGAAGTTTTTAAAAAGTTGTCTAAAAATCCTCAAAAAATTCTGAAATATGAATCTTGGCGTACAAATTTGAAAAATATAGCGTGGTTGGGGTCGTGGATGACTATTTCCGAAATTTTCGGAATAAAATTGAAATTTTTTAAAAAATCCCAAAAATTGACATACTTCAATACCGGAAAAGTGGTACAAGTTATAGAAGAAACGAAACCGGAAGTAACTACTAGAAGTGGAAATCTACAAGAAAAGGTGTTTAGGTAATTTTCGAAAATGGTCTAAATAGGTCAAAATTTTCGTAAGAGTGTATTGCAAATTTGAAATTTTTAAAAAGTTGCCCAAAAATCCTCAAAAAATAATGGGATCTAGATCCCGACGCGCTGATTCGAAAAATATAGCGCGTTTGTGGTCTTGGATAACCATTATCCAAATATTGGGCTTGAAATTAAATTTTCTCGAGAAATCCTAATAATCGCCATATTTCAATGGGCGATGCCCGAAAAGTGGTACCAGCCATCGAAGAAACAAAACCGGAAGTAACTACTAGAGGTCGAAATATACAAAAAAATGTGTTTAGGTAATTTTCGAAAATGGTCGAAAATAGATTAAAATTTTTATTTTTTTTTCAGAAATTAGAAAATTCTGGGATATAGATTTTGGCGTGCAGATTCGAAAAATATAGCGTGCTTGGGGTCTAGGAAGGCGATCCTAAAAATTGCTATATGTATTTCAATGAGCGATGCCGAAAAAGTGGTACCAATTTTCGAAAGAAAGAAGCCAGAAGTAACTACCAGAGGTCGGAATCTACAATTGGGCAATTTTCGAAAATGGTCGAAAATAGTTCAAGATTTTCCTAAATAGGCCAAAATTTTCGTAAGGGAATGAATTGGAAATTTAAAATTTTGAAAAAGTTGCCTAAAAATCTTCAAAAAATTCTGAGATATGGATCTTGACGTGCAAATTTGAAAAATATAGCGTACTTGGGGTCTCGGATGACTATTTCCGAAATGTTCGGCCTGAATTTCAAGTATTTTAAGAAATCTTAAAAATTGCCATAATTCAATGGACGACGTCGGAAAAATACTACCAGTTACAGAAGAAACGAAACTCGAAGTAACTTCTAGAAGTCTAAATCTATAACAAAATGTGTTTAGGTAATTTTCAAAAATAGACGAAAATAGGTCGAAATTTTCAAAAGGGTTATCGGAAAATTGAGATTTTGAAGAAGTTACCTAAACATTGCCAAAAAATTCTGGTATATAAACCGCGACATGCAAATTCGAAAAATATAGCGTGTTTGTTGCCTTGGATATCGATTTCCACAATATTCCACTTGAAATTCAAGTTTTTTAAGAAATCCAAAAAATTTCCATATTTCAATTAGCGATTCCGAAAAAATGGTCGTAGTTATCGAAGAAATGAAACCGGAGTAACGTTAGAGGTCGAAATCTACAAGAACAAGTGTTTAGCTCATTTTTGAAAATGCTCGAAAATGGGTCGAAATTTTCAAGAGTAAGAAATTTCAACTTTTGAAAAAGTTGCCGAAAAATCCACAAAAAAAATTCTCAAATATAGATCTCGACGTACTGACTCCAAACATATAGGTGTCTATTGTCCCACAGCAAGACTTTACAAATATTTGGTTTGAACGATTCTGAAAAAATGGTCAAGACTCTGTATAACTGCCTTAGATTTTTTGTTACATACTGCTAGAGTTTGTGTTGCCTGGAAAGTGATACCAATAAACCTTAAAAATCATCAACACCTTCATTTTCGTAAATTTTATTTTTAATTTCAATTTTCATCATTTTAATCTAAATCTAATACAGTAACACAAAAGTGGGTAATCAAGTACATGCTATTTCTAAAATATTGACACCTGATCAACCAACTTGAAATTTGAGACAGCTATTTCAATTGTGTAACTCATAGGACGGATTACGAAAATCTGAAGCTTTCACTGATTTTGGAAAACCGCCAATAAAGAATACGCCCGTCTGAGAATCTATAACCAAAATTACGCAAAAAACAAGAATTAAAAAATTTAAGCCACTCACCTTAATAAAAGTGTCTAAAGACAAATCTAAAATTCTTCCAGCTGTAACAACTATTGGTTTTTTTGAACGCTCCATCAAAATAATTAAGGCTTTCTTAGATCTTGGGTCATAATCGTACCATTTTGCTGTGTAGATAGCATTGGTCAGAGTATTACTCTAAAATTTGGTCATAACATGAACAGCTAAGTGACCAAGTTAGACTACCTCTTCGTAGAGAGCTGTACCATAGTAGCAATAAAAATAAATTTCTGTGAACATTGTCATTAGAAACATGACCATAGAAAAAAACGGAAATGTCAGTGGTTCTAACATGGTCATTTGCAAGCAAGTAATACATATAACGACAATGCTGGCCAGAAATTGGCTAAATATAGCCGACGAGTAAAGATCCTCAAAGTTTGCTACAAATCTAAAAACAAAAAAAAATCATAGTTTTCTGTGACCACTAGCATATTTACTGTAATATGGCTTCATGATGACCAACGCATTTCGAAATTTTACGATAAATAAATTCGTTTTTAAATTGTTCTTCTTTCAAGGCACTTTCTTCAAGAAATTGTAGATTGTCTTTCAATATTCTGATTTGATGTATAGCATGACAGAGCAGTCCAGAAAGCAGAGTATCAACTATAGCATTCACATGGGCACAATTACCAACACCTGCAAGAACTGACACTCACAAATTGTAAAGTCAATAGTCCATGGGTACCAAACCAAAAACTAAAACAACAAACACTAGTCGAAATATTCTTGGATTCGACTTAAGATTGCATGGTAACCAAATATCAATCGGAAGTCTCATTTCGTCTTCAAAGAATGGAATCATGGTCCATGAAATAACAGCGAATACAACAAGTGTAAAAAAAGTGCGACAATTTCGTCTACAAGTGTAGACACACTCATCAATAATCACTTCTTGCTGTTTGGTGTAGCTTGTAAAAATTGGTGATTCTAAAGTGTAAATATTTCTTTTGATGGAAGTTGCGTTTTTAATAAAAGGTAACAGTTTAAATATACTACCACACATTTGGGATATGATGAAAGCATTTTCGGATATCTTGCTCAAATTTAAATTCTCGGTGAGTACAAGGTTCAGAGTCGCCAGGATTGGTATAGGTACTGAAAAAACACAGTACACAATGTATGCATAAATCGCGTACAGATTTTTATATTTTTCAGGTGGATAGTAGCCAAGGAACTGAAGAATTCTTAAATAAAACCCAAAACTTCGTTCCACTAATAAATCTTTCATTTTGAACTACAGGTTTCACTTATTTCAACCTGTACGTCGATAAATTCTTGTGTTTGGTTGTTTTATACCTGTAATTGTAGCACGTCACACTAAAAAAAATAGCAAGTTTCTAGATTCCATAACTCGTAATTATGTGTATAATTACGGTAAATTGATTATCTTTGCGAGCTAGTGGCGTGTCTGAATTTTTAAAAATGGGTGGAAGAAAACATGTGTTTTCAGTGCGCTTTATTGTTGCATGTTGTTCGTTGGTGGATCAATTAATCCATTCCGTTAGGTACACATAAATACGTTCGTCCAGTCTGCGGTTAAAGGGTCGTGTTTATTTAATTTGCAGAGACGATTAAGAAATTCTAGTAAATTTGTGCAGTAAATTGCATCATTAACGGATTTTTTAAATGAAACTCAACTGTAATTTTTTTGCTTTTTATTTTTGTAAACTTTAAAAATAGCTTTCAAATGACATTTGCTTAGCAATATTTTGAGGTGACGTCATTCAGTTTTGGAGGGGATAAGTTTTCAGTAATTAGACATTATAGTTTCTGAAATAAATTGAAAAACGTTGTAGAGTTTTTTTTTTTTTTTATGCAACATATACATAAACATCTGTATTGGTGGCTTTATATAGTTATTCTTTGTTTCAATTAATTCCAGATATTTGTAGTAAATTATCCTATAGAGTATATTTTTTGAGGGGAAATAGGAAGTGAATTTTGTGCTTTTCAGGTTTTCTTATTTTTAGAGTAAAAACACAACGAGAAGGATATGTTGAATTCACTTAGGTAGGTTTTCACCAGTGGTGTATCATTGTGTTGTGAAATAAGGCCATTCTAAAAAATATATTTTCACTTACATTTGTTTAAGAAACACAAAACACTACACAGAATAATGAACTCTCTTACTGGTACGACTAGTACGGTTCCCTTTTTTAAATTCGCAAATGGACCCGTCCAGAAGCTTTTACCTCTACTGCGAAAATACCAGAACATAAAAAATCTCCAATAGTTTACCTTTTTTGTCAAAATTTCGGTTCGGACACAATTTCATTTTGTTAAAAAATCGTAAAATCGAAAAATTGTAGAAACCAAAAACTGAAAACTAGAAAAACTGAAATATTGAAATCGAGAAAATGAAAAATTGGGTGATTGAGAGATCAAAAAGTTACAAAATTGCAAAATCGAAAAACCGAGAAAACCATTCGAAAAATTTAAAAACTGGAAAATCGAGAAAACGGAACGTTAGATACATTCAAAATTTTAAAATCGGGAAATAGAAAAATAGGAAATCCAAAAAATTGTAAAGCTGAATAAAATGAAATTTTATTGAAAGTTGAAATTTCGAAAAATTCAAGAAACAAAAATTGAAAACAAAAAATTAAATTATCAAAAAATTGAATAATATTAAATCGAAAAACTAAAGAAACGAAAAATTGCAAAATCAGCAAATTAAAAACCAAAAAAATAGAAAAAATGGATAATCAAAAACTGAAAAAATTAAATATCAAACTAGAAAAATCGAATAATCGAAAAATCTAATCGAAATATCGAAAATTTGCGAAATCCTAAAATTAAAAATCGAGAAATTAAAGATTCGAAAAATTTAAAAAGGCAAAATTGAAAATCGAAAATTGAAAATATAGAAAACAAATTATGTAAAATTGAAAAAAAATTAAAATCGAAAAATAAAAAATCGAAAACTTGAAAGGTATATTAGGTAATAGAAAAATCGAAAATTTTCACAATCGTCAAGTTCAAGTAATGAACAGTTGAAAGATTGAATAAATGAAGAAACTTAATTGAAAAAACCAAAAATGTAATTATCAAAAACCCGACAAATAGTAAAATCCAAAACCAAAAAACGAAAAATAAAAAAATCGGAATTCTAAAACAAAAAGTAAAAACTATAAAATGCAATAATAACTGAAAAATCGAAAAATCGAGGAATTAAAAATCGAGAAATTGAAGATTTGAAAAATTTAAAAATTGCAAAAAATCCAAAATTTGCAAAATTATAAAATTAAAAAATTGGAAAAGTCAAAATTAAAAACTGAAAACCGAAAAATTGCTAAATTGAGAAATTGAAAAATACAGTAATTGGACAATCAAAAAAAAAAAACTAAAAGAATTAAAAATTAAGAAACTAAAAAATTGAAAATTGGAATCTTGGGAAATTTAATAATTTAAAAAATAAAAAATTTTAAATGCAAATGAGATGTCGAAAAATTGGGAAATTATAAAATTGAAAAAAATTTAAAATTTAAAAATCGAAAAAATTGAAGAAACCAAAAATGGTCAAATTTAAAAATTGAAAACACACAAAACTAAATTAACTGAAAACGTAAAATTGTAAAAATGAATACGAAGATATAATCATAGAAAAATCGAAAATTTGCAAAATCGTAAAGTTGAAGTAATGAATAGTTAGAAGATTGAAAAAACTAAGAAACATAATCTAAAAAAGCAAAAAATTTAATTATCAAAAAAACTGACAAATAGTAAAATAGAAAACCAAAGAAATGAAAAATTAAAAACTTGGAAAACAATAAGTCAAAAACTAAAAATAAAAAAATGCAATAATAGCTGAAAAATCCAGAAATCGAAGAATTTTAAATCGAAAAATTGCAAAAAATCTAAAAACTGCAAAATTATAAAATTTAAAAATCGGAAAAGTCAAAATTAAAAACTGAAAATAAAAAAATGCAGTAATTCAAAAATCGAAAAACTGCTAAATTGGGAAATTGCAAAATCGAAAATTGTAACAAAGGAACATCGAAAAACTCTAAGAATTAAAAATTAAGAAATTGAAAAATTGAGAATTGGAAATTTGGGAAATTTAATAAGTTAGATTAAAAATTTAAGATGTATATAATTAAGATCTCGAAAAGTTGCGAAATTGTAAAATTGAAAAAAGTTAAAAATTAAAAAAAACAAAAAATGGCAAAATTGAAAAATTTGAACAATTTAGAAATTGCAAATTAAAAAGAGAAAAACTAAAAATTGAACTTTGGAGAAAGTGAAAATCTGAAAATTTGAGAACTCGAAAAATTAAAAATCGAGGCATTAATAAATTAAAAACTGAAAAAATTGAAAAACTGAAAAAAATGCAAATAAAAACATTTAAGAAGCTAAAGATTAAAAAATTATAAAACTGGAAGATACAAATGTTGAAAAATCGAGGAATTGATTGCAAGTTTAAAAATTGAAAAATCGATAATAGGAATACTTGCCATCCAAAAATTGTAAAATCTAAAATTGGAACATTGAGACTTAAGAATATTCAAAAGTCGAATATCGGGAAGTGGAAAAATAGAAAATCGAAAAATGAAAAATCTAATAATTCAAAATCCAAAAGATTGTAAAATCGTTAAGTTCAATTAAATCAAAAACTTGAAAAGTCGAAAAAATTCAGAAACAAAAATTTATCACACAAAAAATTAAATTATCAAAAAATTTAACAATAGTAAAATCGAAAAACTAAAGAAACGAAAAATTGCAAAATCGGCAATTTGGATATCAAGAAAAATCGCAAAATTGGTTAATTGAAAAATTAAAAAATCAAAATAGAAAAATCTAAAAACTGAAAACCCAGAAATAAAAAATGGCAAAATTGAAAGCCGAAAATTGAAAATACAGAAAACTAAATTATCTAAAAATGGAAAAATTTCAAAATGTAAAAATTTCAAAACAAAAAATAGAAAAAATAAAAATCCAGTGATTGAGAAGTAAAAAATTACAGTATTGCAAAACTGTAAAATTTAAAACTGGAACACCGAAACATCGAAAAATTAAATATCGGAAAATAGAAAAATAAAAAATCAAAAACTTGGAAAGTATGCTAATTGAAAAATCGAAAATTTGCGAAATCGTAAAGTTGAAGTAATGAATAGTTGAAAAGTTGAAAAAATTAAACAAATTGAAAAAACAAAAAACTGAAAAATCGGAAAATTATAAATCAAAAACTAGAAATAAAAAATGCAATAACTGAAAAACCTAGAAATTGAAAAATTAAAAATCGAGAATTTGAAGATTCGAAAAATTTAAGAATTGCAAAAAATCCAATAATTGCAAAAAATCCAATAATTGCAAAATTATAAAAATTGGAAAAGTCAAAATTAAAATTGAAAATAGAAAAATACAGTAATTGAAAAATCCAAAAATTGATAAACTGGAAAATCAAAAAATTGTAGCAAAGAAACATCGAAAAACTGAAAGAATTAAAAATTAAAAAACTGATAAATTGAAACCTGGAAAATTTATTAATTTTAAAAATAAAAAAATTAACATGTAATAGAAATCTCGAAAAATTGCAAAACTGTAAAATTGAAAAAAATAATTTTCTGAAAATGTAAAATCGAACATTGGAGAAAAATCAGGAAAATTGAGAAATCGAAAAAATCAAAAAGAAATGCAAAAGCAAAAAATTTAAGAAGCGACAGATTAACAAATTATTCACTCAAAATCAAGAGAGAACAAAATCTGTAGACTGAGAAATCAAAAAAATATGAAATTATAAAATTGAAAAATCGATGAACTGAATAATTGCAAAATCTACAACTGTAACATTGAAACATAAAAAAATAGTAAAACTAAAAATCGGGGAATAAAAACATCAAAAATCTAAAAAACTTGAAAGGTCTGATAATAATTGAAAAATCCAAAATTTGCGAAATCGTAAAGTTGAAAAAAAGGGAAAAACTAAAGAAACGAAAATTTGAAAGATAGAGAAATTAAAAATCAAAAAACCGAGAACAGAATAATGGAATGATCCAAAAACCGAGAAATCAAAAAATTAAATACCGGGAAAATTTAAAAAATCGAAAATTTGCCAAAGTAAAAATTTCATAATCAAACTTCTAACTGAAATCTCGAAAAATTGCGAAATCGTAAATTGAAAAAAATGGAAAAATTCACAATCGAGAAACGAAAAATGTCAAAACTGAAAAATATAAAGATTCAATTATCTAAAAATTAAAACACTGTAAAATCCAAAAATTGAAGAAACGAAAAATTGCAAAATAAAAACCGAAAAACAACAAAAATCAAAAATGGAGTACGTAATCGAAAAATAGGAAAACTGAGAAATCCAAAAATTAAAAAATCGAATCACCGAAAAATTGTAAAATTGAAAAATCGATAAATTTATAAATTTGAAAAACCGAAAAATTGAAGAAAAAATTCAAACGAAAAATCAAGAAATTGGAAAATTCAAAAGTGAAAAAATCGAAATAATCGAAATCTCTAAATACAGTAGTTAAAAAAATGGGGAAAAAATAAAAATAAATCAATAAAAAAATGCTAATAAATCAATACATAATAAATAAAAATTATTCAAAAAGAACAACAAAAGTAGCTATTTTACCTACATTTTTTATGTAAATACCTGCTCATATTTAATTACTTACCTCTCATGTGTAAATATTTATAACACTTTAAATCCTATTCTCTCCAAAAAAAAAAACATTAAACAATAACTCATACAATAAAATACCAATGAAAACAAAAATTTTATAATAACCCCATTAAAAAACACTCAAAACAACAAATTTGCTATAAACCGACACTAAATTATCCTGGTGGCCACTGCAGCTGCCGTCCCCCCAAAATATGTATATGCAAATGATAAACCGACTGGCAAGCTTGCTTTCCGTTGTTTATAACCAACCGATAACCATTCGGCAGACGCTGTTGAGCCAATTTTTGAGCTCGGACTATCAAGTCACCCAGCAACTAAAAGCACACAATCATATCCAAACAATTAATTACACACAAAAAAGCACCTCCTTATCGTCCTCCTTCACCGAATCCAACATCGGGATGCGACGTTTCGGTATAACCAGAAAATGCACCGGAGCCTGTGGATTAACATCATTGAAAGCTAGACACTGGTCATCTTCATAAATGATATCTGATGGAATTTCTTTCGATATGATCTTATCAAAAATAGTCGATTTTTGCTTGTCTAAGGACGCTTGTTGCGCTTTTTCGATTTCAGTACTTTCCTGGAAAAAAATTAAAGAGTAACTTTTTTAGGTTATGATTCGAGGTGTCACAACCGTTCTGAAAAAGAGTTTAGTTAAGGGTGGCACTACGTATCGGTGGTGGGCACGAGGGGCATTTGCAAATATTTTGTTTAAAAACATTTTTTTTTGTTATTCGTAACACAATTTGACAGATTAGAACGTTATCGGTGGTGTAGGTTATAAATTCGAGCGGGAAATTTGAATTTGGTTGAACAAGTGGTTCAGCTATTAATATTTAATTTAAATTAAAACATATACTGATACGTTACCCCCATGATATGTATCTCTCGTAGTATATTTTCACAAAATGAACACTGTGTTGTGACAGCTTTAAATTAAAATGGGTGATTTTCTTATGTTTTTTATTAGAAATAGTGATGCTAATAAGTTAAAAAAATTATTACTAAGTTAAAATGTTTTTAGTAGGTTTGTAGCACTGCTAGTAGTGAATAAGATCTCCTTATGATCTACAATGCTACAGGTTTAAAACTAGATCCGTATCAGTATGAATTATACCGTTGTAAATGTTTCCAAAGACAAATTGAGAATTTTTCCAGCGGTAATAATGATGGGTCGATTTGAACGTTCCATCACTATACCAAGAGCCTTCTGTACACTCATGTCAAGTTGGTACCATTGTCCCATATAAATGGCATTCGTGACGTCATTGCTCTAAAAACAAGAATTATTTTTCATCGTGATTAAAAAATTAAATCATTGCTCTTTTTACCTCTTCAAAAAGTGTTGTGCCATAAAAGCAATAAAAATAAACTTGAACTAGACAAATGGTCAGATAACTTGCCATAATAAAGAAATTGAAGCTTAGTGGTGGTAACTAAAACATATTTTTGACATTTTTTTTTTTTGTAGTTAGAAAACTTGTCATATTTTACCTGACTCAGTTGCAGACAGCAAAGACAAATCACGAAAACACTTCCAACAAATTGACTAAAAACCACCCACGAGAAGCAATCTTCATAGTCTTTGGAAAATCTAAAATTTGACTACTTTTTTTGAAAAACGAAACACAGTGTTGTGATAACCCAAACTTCCCGCCTTGAAATTTGACCTTGAAAACAGTTTGAAAGGCCCGCAAAAAATTTAAAAATTCAAAGTTTGGCCTTGGCTATGATCGTCTAACAAATAGGAACCTACGTTGTGTTTTTTTTTTTTTTGTTTTTGAAAAATGGCGGGAAGACGTTCTTTCATACAAGTGCATACACTGTCGAGAGCGCAAGAAATAATAGACAAAAATTGTTTTGGAGGGGGGGAAACGGCACCACCCTCACAGGGGGAAAGACGCTGCGAAGAATTACCCCTCAGCGCAAAAACCCCCTTTGGTTTTTATTCCCGGACGACATATATATTACATTTCAAACACCTTAAGATATGGGAAAGAAAAACACTCGCGAATTGACAGACATACACACACGAAAAACGAACAAACGGAAATTCTGTACATCTGTTTGGAATCAATTCCAATATTTGAATATCACAAATTTAGTAAAACAAAGCAAAAGCTGAATCAAGTAACTGGATGCAAGTACACAAGTTATTACAGGCGTGTGGCGGCCGATCTCCTTTTCCTTTTTTTTTTTGTTACGGCAGTTAACAGGAGCACAAGAAAAGTACCCCTGGAGCGTTGTAGCATAAGCGGAGTCTGAGCTACCGGTCTGGAACTGTTCTCCCCCCGCGACGATGATTCTATCTATCGCAAAGCCTACCCCACACGCATATCCCATGACGAACTTTGCCCTGCGGAACTAGGCCATTACGGTCGTCCAACCCGCAAAGATCTCGACTATTGGGCCAAATCGAGAAATTCACAACGTCGGCGGCCGCCCCCTGAATCTATCCAAACCTGTGGACTTGTACAGGTGGCGCGATAAATCTCGCCAGCTCGACTAGGAACCAAACCTCGCTTCTGCCACGTTTTCTGTGTCATTTAACCTCAATTCCATTTTAAAACATTCATTAATCTCTTATAACTCTGATGTTAACAACAACTGAACAAGTGTTAAAGTTTCAAAGAGCAATAAACAACATTTAAATTCGCCATACAATCTTGTGAAATATTAAACAACAAATAATTCTTATGTGGGATTAAAGTTGGACATCAAATAATTTATATGATAGAAAACATTCATCAACAAAGTATTTACAAAACAAAACTTAGCAAGGATTTATGAGACGAAAGATCTGGTGTGAAATAAACTTGTACAAATAGAAATGTTATGTGAGGTTAGAACTGTAGAACATGAAATTTACGTTCAATTAAATTTATACAACAAATAAAATTACTGAGGTTAAAATTGTGAGATTAAAGAAATATTGTATGATGTGAAAATTTGCAGAGTTAACAAAATTTACATGAGATTAATTTTTGCCACACTTTATCAACGGTTCAAACAAAGAGTTTACATTATGCCAAATTATATCATGATCTAAATGATTGGTTACTTCAAAAATAATTTACTTTGAGAAGTTAAAATACTACGAACTGGTTACCCCAACAAAACACATAATAAACAAATACAAAAATATCCAATCATCGCTCCGAGGAAAAAGCGTCTCGGGGATATAAATTCCAAAATCGTTGCGAGAAAAAAGCGTCTCGGTAATGTAAATTTTCTGTAGCGTTGGGGGCATGCCTTAATTAATTAATCAATCTGGCGTTGCGAAACATGCCCCGATGAATTAATCGTGATAACGATGATAACCACCTAAGGGGAGAAAATATCATAACCCCCCGCCAGTCCGCAGTATAATGAACTTGTTTAACTGCCGTAAATGAACTATTAGCAATCTTGTGTGAAGAATTTAGAAGTGTTATAATGTAACACTTACGTATATGCATCCAGAGACCTATTCGTAATTAAACATAAGGTGTTTTTCCTGGCTAAGTGAATTTCATGAAATCTTCTAGCAAATGGTTAATTTAAATAATCCTGATTGTTAAATTGTGTTTGCACTAGCTGACTATTAAGAAAAACTAGCTTGATTGGTGAATTTACAAACAAAGAAACATATTCACAACACGTGTTCGCGTCCGACCGGAAGTCTGCAATTTTCGATTAAAAGGGCGCAAGAATTTACCGCGCGGGTTGGGGACAACTGTATCATTATGAAAAATACGTTTGATCGTCGTTAAACAAAGGCTTCCTCCCGTTTTATTAACTACCAAACCAACTAATTTAAACCTAGCGCTTACCACGTGGTTACACTTACACGAAACACACCAGAATGACACATTCTACCGCCATGCCGCTTTTCTACCAACCCTCTAACTGAAATTACCCTAGCGCTACGTGCTGCCATCTAACCCAAAGATCATGCAACTAACTCCTAAGCGCTACGTGCATTAGACCATCCATGCATATTTGGTTGCCTATGTTTAAGGATTTCCTTTTTGTGATTGAACTCTTTTTTTTTTTCAAATTAAAATTATTCAAATGTGATTTCGCGCCGTTGTCAATTAATTTCAGCGCGAAAAGTTTGATTTAAATTCGGTCACCACAGTGTGTTTGTTTAAACTAAAAAATACGCACCTCAATATTGCTTTATGGTGATAAATGCACTGTTGTATGTTGTTGTAAACACTTCTAGAACCAATTTGTGTATTTTTTCCCAACAATCTATCAACATTTTGCAAATCATACTTCAAAATTTTAAATTGAGTTGCAGCTTGATAAGCCAGACCTCCAATTAAAGGATCTATGGCGGCGTTTGCAAACGAAGCATACAAAGCTCCTAAACACAAACAAAACATTGTTGTTGTTATCATTATTACAAAAAAAAAAAAAACTACCTGCAAAAAGAAATAAATAAACGCAAACATTTAAAGCTGATCCTGGTTTCACAGCCACAGGCAACCAGATATCAACAGGCAGATGATAATGTGTCCACAGGAACGGTTTGACACCCCAGACACAAATCCCTCCGATAACTACAACGAAAAAAGCCCTCGAGTTTCGTCTGCACACTTGAATACACTCAACTATGATTGTTGTGACTTCTGGCTCGCCCTCTGTCAAAACAAACGAATCGAAAAATTCGATGCACTGTTTGATTTTAACACTGTTTTTGATGAAAGGCAACAATTTCGCGATGTAGCACGTCATATCGGCTAGTAAAAACGCATTGTCGTACACCCTCTCCATCACAATTTCGTCTTCAAGGAGTAAATATAGCACTCCAAGTAGCGGCATTGGTACTATAGAAAAAAAATATGCCCCATATGCTAGGTATTTTCTTAAGGTGCTCTGATCGCTGTTGTAGAGACCCAGGACTTGCATTATGGTTAAATTAATTTCGAAGCTTTGTTTAATTATGCTTTTCATTGTGTGTAGCACTGAGAAATGAAATTCGATGACGTCTTTTGTTCTATTTATATAGAGTTCGAACCGGTAGTTTTTTCCTGGACAGAGGTCTTTTTAATTAAAAGAAACACATTAATTTTACATCAAAGGCGCGCCGATATTTGAGACGAAGGAAATGGAAGTTTAAAGGCTTTAATTGGACCACGTTTAAAACGTCGCATGTTGTAAAATTTTAATTATTAATTTGAAATAATGAAATATTGGCTATATACCGCAATTGGTTTGTCGATCTTGTCGACTTGGTGTCTAGTAATTACTCGTGAAAAGTTTCACAGGAAATAATGTGTGGTAGTTCGGAAGCCACTAAAATTGTGCTATTTAATCAATGTCGCATACTTTTATTCAGAAGATTAGGAAACATTTACTTAGTTGTAAAGTTGTTTAAATTAAAAATTTGCAAACTGTGTAAGTATTTCAATATTTTAATAAAATATTTTTTTAGGGTAGGAAGAAAAACATCGTGCCGAAAGCTGGATCTTTGAAATTGTAAATAATATGTGTAGATTTTTTCTCAAAACAATTATTGCTTTATTTAAATTTTGGAATGTTTAGAATTTATGAAATATTATGTTAATAGTTAATTTTTTTTTTCAGTTTTGCCATTTTTCGTTTCTCGATTTTTAATTTTTCTTTTTTTCAATTTTTCAACTTTTTAAGGTTTCATTTTTTTTCAGTTTACGATTTCGCAATTTTTCCAGGTTTCAGTTAGAATTTTATTTTTAAAATTTTTACTTTTCTCAATCTGTCGATTTTCAATTTTTCGATTTTTCAGTTTTTCGATTCTTTACATTCTGGATTT